AAGGTGTCTCTCTTGCTCTGTGGTATCATATGTTTTAGCAGATGTGGGTCCAGGCACTGTGAGGGATTGCCAGGGACAAATTACTCACCCCCCAGAAATAACTTCTCTAAGATGAAGAAAAGAGGAAAAAGCACAGGGATGGGAGTACAAGAAGCTGTTACAGAAAGCTGTCAGCTGGACTGGATTCTCTATGGCTGCAGAAAGAAGCAGAAAGAGAAAACAATGCAGCTTTTGCTTCTGAATTTTAGAAAATTTAAGTCCAGTTTGTTTTTTTCTAAAGGAGGCACTGACTTAACTAAAAGCCAGACTTGAGAAGAGCTGGTTATAAAGCTACAAAATGATTAGATAGAAATAACTTGTTAGCACTGCTCAAATGCCAAACTGCAGTTGAATATGTCGAAAAAAAGGCAGAAATGGTCTTACAGTCAAGTAATTGGCAGAACTCTTGGTTTAATTTACAACATATTAAAATCTTAACCTTTTAATGTTAAAATATTAAAATATTTTAAGATAAATTATGAGCAGCAAATATTTAAATTATAAATTTGTGGCCATTTTCTGACATTACTCTTTCAGAAAAAAATCTGAATTGTATTACAGTGAGGTTTGAGTATCAGATCAGGTTCTGGACAACACAAGGACAGGCTCCTCCAGATCTAATTATTAATGGCATTATTGAGTTCAACCAGATGTTTCACATGGATAAAATTAAGTACACGAATAAATCAAGATCCAAGCGCGCGCTCAGATTTGACAGAAGATAAGGAAAGGTGAAACAAAAAGTAATGAATACAGTTAATGAAAAACTATATATCCCTTGCTGTTAATGTAACTCGAAATTTAAAATCCAACAAGTATCAGGCTTGTTAAATGACCACTCTGCTGACAGACCAACGAGTGGGATGTTTCTCACGTCATCTTTCCTACTGGATTCTGTCAGTCCAAGTTTTAGACACCCTGAGTACTAAACATTCTGCAGTTTCCCAAAGTAATTACACAAGAGATAGCCATACTTTCAGAGTACAAAATACCACTGATGAGCTACATTTCTATCAACAATGTCAAGACTTCAAGTATTATCCTAATGGCTAATCCTTTATGGAAAGGATGTAAGTGAAAGGTAGTGTGCATGATTTAAAACACAGTATATACTTGTCCTCTCACAGCTTTTAAAATTGCAGGATCATTTGCATCTTATCAGCTGCAAATCAGACACTAAACAAGAAAAACAATTATAATCTAGTATTTCAAGAAAAGGAGGAAGACATCAAAACCCAGGATGATTTTTAACTAGCAAAACTACTTTTAGAGAACAATTTAGCCATAAGTAAGTTATTCCTACAAAATAATTAAGCCTCTGGAAACAGAAATATCTACACCAATCTCAGCCAATAATTACAATTGTACTTGTATAATAACTCATGTAAATGGAGTCAAGAATTAACTCGAAGGGTCTCTGGTATATTGCTGTTGTAGTAAGTTTACCTGAAAACACAGACTGAGCCAAGGCCTGGCTTTGGATCAAGGTGGCACAGAGAAAAATGTGGAGCATGCAGTATGCACTCCCTCTACTGGGCACTGGAATTATCCCGAGCAGGCATTCAGAGAAAAAAGGGATATGTCCGAGCATCCAGGCACCGTGAAATAAAAGCCCTTCTACAGCTCTCGCCCTCTTCCCCCCGGATTCGGCTAAAACACACAGTCACAGAAAAATGGATTTCAAAACTCTTGTTTATACTCCCAAAGTGCAGTTCCTGTCAGAAACCTGATTCACCCAAACAAGAATTTAACTACATTTGTGTAAGCACACAAAAACCCACTTGCCTTTGACCAACACAGCAAGTCTGTCATTCTTTGTCCACCTCCCACCCATTTGAAACAGTAACAGCTCAGAAAAAATGTCTTGATGACTCCTGATCTGCTGGGGGCACAGAAATGGGAAGAGGGAATCTCTGGGCAGCAGAGAAGTATTAATAATTATAAAATCTGCTGCCAGGGATTTGTTTCTAGACAGTCAAAGAACCACCTTTGTTTTTCTTTTCCCTCTCCTGCCACTGCTCCTGAGAGGCAAGTGCAAAATGGTGCCACAGGCTACTGGTGCTGGCAGGGTCTCAGTGTCACATGGAAATTATGGCCCTCCCTGTAATTAAGGCTCTCTGATGGTTTGAGTTCTTCACTCTCACGGAAGAGAAAAGGAAGAAGTGGTTATAGCTCATGTCACTATAAACCATTTTAAGTCAAACTGTCTCACTGTATCAAGTCCTGTGCTTTCCTTCAAGTGACTTTGTGGAAGTGAAACTCCATAAACCTACAGAAAGTTCTGTACTTTGCAAAGCAGTGGGACTTTTCCATTTTTCAGGAGAGGTAAAAAAAAACTTCCAGAGAACATAACTTGTGCTAATTTTCTAACAAGTTTGTGATTGCCCACAAGTCCTGCCTTGCAGGCTAGTGCTCCATGATATGGAAAATGAAATGAGAAACAATGGAAAGTATGGATGTAATAATTAGGATTGCCAAAAGCACACACCTTGTGCACCAAAAAATATGATTCTTCTGTGAATGTAGGCCAGGTAACCACCAATTTCTTCTCTGCAGCATAATTTATATCCAGCTACACTACTGGTATATTCATATTAAACTGCAGCATCAAGAATTACTCCAGATATATACAATTATTTGCATTTCAGCCACAGGCAATGGTAAGGGACTTCTAGACCTTCTTTCTCTTAAGTGGCAATTTAAATCTCTGTGGGATTGATAGTTAGAGTAGAGTTCACAGTAATAAATCTCCAGGTTCACTGTCTCTCACTAAACCCTTCACTTTATCAACTTTCTTGATCTCAGTTTGAGGATGGGTAAAACCTTTACTCCCTCTGTTCCCAGACAGAACAGAAACAAAGCACAGAAAAGAACAGATGAAAAGGGGGAAAATTAGTGACCACAGAAGCATGGAGATTGAGCACAAAGAAGATGTAAAAAGTCTGAGGAGAATGGGCAAGCCTAAGTCCCCAAGTCCTGATAATTCTGTTTTATATTTGCTATAAATGCTGCCCTTCATTTCTCATCTCCACACTGAGCAGGTACAGCACTCACTGCTTCCATGTGCCACCAATAACATCCAAAATGCCTCATGCTGTTGGGACAGGGTGGCTCAGAGCCAGGGCTCTGAAGGACAGACAGAACATCAGCACTTCTTCTCCGGGGTTTAAAGACACAGAAGGCAGTAAAACTTTGGCATGGCAAGAGCTACAGCTCCAAGGACACAAGGACAGACAGAGCCACAATACATAACACAGGCAGCAGTGTTGCACTAAAGAAGAGCTGTGTGTAGTATTTCATATGCTGACATGTAAATATTTGACAGATGGGGATTTAATAACCATGGTCTAAGAGATTCTGTTTATTTTGTTCTATCAGACTCTCAATTTACCATGTTTTTACGTTTCAATAAAGTCATCTGACACATGAATAAAATATAATTTATACAGTTTCCATCTGCAGTACAAAGCTCTTTATGTTCAGGTTATAAATTTAAAATAACTCAGCGCTAACACTAAATTTGGTTGTTTTCCACTGGAGAAAAGCCCTAGGTATAATTATATATTGTTTTCAATGCTTAAGTTAACTCAATCTGCATCACCTCATTTTGAAAGTATTCTTTGTGAGCACTGTTATTATTTTCCTTTTTTTCCCTTTTAACAATGGAATTTTTTAGCTTTCAAACTAATAGAGATATTACTTACAAACATGCTATATAAACATATAGATAGCACTGATCACTCTCCAGAAGTGGCAACAATACCACTTCAAACACATCCACATGCACATGCACACACACACACACACGAAAATCAAGGCTTGAATGTCCTTTATATCTTGTAAGAAATATAGCAACCAATATTCCATGCAGAGGTGCAGCAAATGAAGCCCTGTCAAGCAAATGGCAGGAATGACAGCAGATGTCTGGATTCCTTCATAGCTGGTTGCATAAAGGTAGCACACATATTTCACTGGAGAAAAAAAAGCTCTGACAAGACAGTCTTTCAGTACTTTTCATTCAGAGTTGGCATTTTTGACTGGTGTGGCACATCAGTAGGTGTTAAGATGATGAACCAGATTAATCTTGATTAAGCTCCATTTGCACAACGAAAGCAAAGTCTGCAACACTCAGTCATGGCTAAATGAGGCTACCACAATGTAGTCCAAAGGATAATGTCCAGATTAGATTCTTACAATCCAGTAAATCCAAACCAGACTGTAGTCTGAACCCTGACCCAAACCACTTATTTTCATGTCAAGTTATACAGTAATTTCGTTTGATCACAGCCAACAGAAATGAGTATTATGCAGCTCTGCTTTTTAGTTACATAAACAAGCCATTAGACTCCTTTTTGGACCTCAATAACATATTTGATCTTCCAGCCTTTGTCTATTCACAAGTTCCATCTATTTCACAAGAACTGTCATAGGTAGTTAATCTTTGTGGAACAGTTTAATGCTCTAAAGCTTATATGATAACCAATTCTCTTATGGTAACCTCAATCACATTACAGGCTTACTAGAGAGAGTAAATACTGCACAGCAGGGAAACTTCTTTACTGAACTGACAGACACTCATATAGTTTTGCAAGTTGAAAAAGAACATGAGTAGTACAGTGTTTACTGAGAAATATGCACAGAATAAGCTGAGGACATAACACTGTTACACATGAAGGAACTAAGAGTAAATAAAATCTGCACTTAGCCACTTCTCTATCCTAAACAATAAGAGGGATGCTTTAAATGGTTTTGTCTAATAACCAGGCCCATGGTGTATTATACAGGTGTTTACTGCAACTTCCCTGAGTGAAGCTACAACCAGCTAAATTAATGTACTTTTCAATAAAACTTCTGTTGAAAAGTTTCCTAGATTAGAGTTTAAGAGAAAAAAGCTTTTTTTGTATACAAGGTAAGCTTTACTAATGGTCCTCTCCAGTAAAACAGAATTCTAAGAAACTCACCACTTTTCTTTTTCTTGCTTTGAAGGAAATGTTCATTTCCTTGTATTTCTTCATAGCAGTCTCCAGTTTATTCTTGAGTTCAATGGCACATCTTAGTCGATCATCATTGACTCCTGCTCTGGTAAGTAACTGCAGAGGAAGAAAACAATGTCTTACTCATTTTTCTAGACATCTGAGCAAAACAAAATTTTTAGTTTTCCCTCATAATTAATGAAATGACATTGTCACAAATTCCTTTGTTTTACAAGTAATAATTAGTGAAGCCAATTCTTTTCCTATACAGAATATAAAAACCAACAGCAACTAGTGAAAACAAAGATGAAAAGCTATTACAAACATCTCCTGAGATTGTCCTTCTACAGGCCAAATTCCATGCAGGAGGCTCCAGGGCATACTGTTTATCTGATAGAGAGGTGCCTGACAAAAATAAGCTGTGTTTTACTTTAACCCTTTGCAAAAAGCCCTATTTTACCATATCTTAGAAAGAAAAACCAGAACACAGATAATTGACTGTTGGTACCACACCCAAGGCTGAGAGCTATCAAACAAGTTACATAGCTCCTGCAGCCTCCTTTGGTCCACCCCTACTGAAACAGAAATCTTTTCCAGTTACTCCTATGTTTCTTTGACCTTATTTTCCTTTTGGCTCACTCTCCCTCAAGACTTTCTGCACCCCAGTCTTTGCTTCATCATCTGTTTACTGAAAAATAAAAAAAAAGTTGTCTCTTTATCCCACCTGAATCCAGGACTGCACAGAAGGCCAGAACTTATTTCTGAGAAGTTTGTGAGCATCCATGACACTGTTTATGATGGCAGTGTTATCTTCATTCTCTTGCACTTTTATATCTGCTCAAAACAGGGGAAAAAAAGAGCTCATGATGTTTATATGTCTTCAGTGTAGGAGCTAAAGAAGGTAAATGGAGGTAGACATTAATTTGTCTAAAATATTTGATCACTTCAGGGAAAGGTACAAACATCAGAATGCTTCTCTGTTAAGTATTAATTATTCTACCATTATTCACATATTCAAAAAATCCGGGGAGAAGATGACATTTTCAGTCCAGTGATGGCAGAAAGAGTTGTTAAACCATCACTACTAAGGAATCACCAAATAAACCACAGATGAGTTCAGCCTTACTGTTTACATTACACCTTGTCCTAAATCAAAGGAGCTGGGCCTTATACTCAATATAAAATAATCCCTGCTCTGGTGGCAATGGGGACTTGATTGTCAAAGAAGCCAGCTATGCCACTATCCAAGCAAAAATTATACTTTTCACATGTTAGTCATTCATAAATCCCACAGATTCATTTCCAGTTCTGTTCTCAGCAAGAACAGAAGCAGATAACCCTCCTTACTGTCTGCACATGAAATTCCATTAGGACAGTATTTGTAGGATACTTCCAAAATACAAACCATCCTAATTTTTCTAGAGGTGATTCACATTAGCAAAGTTATATAAAAAAAGACTTCCTAGCAAAACTACTTACTTCTTCTTGCAAGCTGTCAGTAGCAAGGAAAAAGAAAAGTTTAAGAAACACTCAACTGCTAGATTTTTTAAAGTAGCAGCTTATAGCCCAGCTATAGAAAGAGGTGAGTAGTGAAGCATATGAGAAAGGAAATTACATATGGTAAACAGATTATTTTTTTTTAAACAGGAAACTCATTATAGGGACTATGAAATGCTGTAATGCACTTGCAACTACTGATATAAAATTTCAGTCTTAGAAGGTAATTAGTGAAATCTGTTACTCACACACAAGGACACCCAAAATTTCTCAGAACAGTTACAAGATGAAGCAGAAATAGAAAAAGAACTCCAAAATAAATCAAAGTGGTATCTAGGAATCCCAAAGCAAAATGGTGTCCAGTAACCCCAGCCTTTAAGTAACAGAAAAAAACCCAAGACCACAACTACAAAGCACTTGACATAAAGTGTGAAAACAGCACTTCCAGCTATATGTCAAAAAATTTTCCAGGTACCTGTGGAGATTTCAAGGTCTAGAGTGTACTTGTGTGAAATAAGCCCATGGTTCCTAACAAAAGTCTGGTAATCATCATCATCAAGAGCAGGGTCACTGGACAGAACTTCCGAGCGTGTGCCTCCATCCAACTCTTTCTGCTCAGGCTTCTCCCATTTCTCATCTGACTCTTTGTTTCCATCAGTTCTGACACACTGAGAAACAGGAAGAATGTCCTTGCTGCAGCATGGCTGTTCATCATCCATGTACCCAAAACAGGACTGGTCAACCTCCACACGGGAGGATGAGGGGGCTGCAGACATTTGTTTGTTGGGTTCCGGTTCCGTGTCGTTCACAGCGAAGTTGAAAGGATCTGGCATCAGAAGCTGGAAACAGTTTTCCATCTCTGTCAGTGTAGCAGCAATCTCTTGGGACATTTCTAGCAAGACAATTGTTTTAGAATATTGTTAAATACTGTAAAATGTTAATGTCTCCAAAGCAGACACTGAGTTACAAAACAAATACGACTGCCAAAGGGGGGAATCTATTTATCCAGTGATCAGTGATGATTTAGCCATACAGATCTCCCTCTGCTCAGGAACTGTCCTTATAAAAGTAATAATACTTTTCTTGAGCAGGAAATCTAGAACTTCCTGAGTAAGGAATGTAGAATCATGTTCCACCCTTCCCTATCCTCTCTAAAATTTCAGTATGTAAAGATGACACAAGTACTTCACAGAATTTGAAAGAAAACAAGGTTCAGTGAGGATATTCTTAGTGATGTTGGTGGGTGTTCATTCTACAGCTGTAAATTCTGTAGTTGCACATAGGTGTAGCCATGAATATATGTTCTTGCTCAAAGAGATGCTACTGATAAAAATGACTTTAAGAAAGTTGAATCTCTTTAAAATTACACTCTCATGCTTTAAAATATTTCCAGCATACAGAATAAATGCAGACACAGTTGAATGCATTACATATATTAAAGTAATTTAATTAAATAACCCTTTGTAACTACAGCATAACATACTATCTGTGTTCTTCTCTTGGATTACAGAAATGTGTTTGCTATGCACATATCTCAGGGGCTCAGCCCCTAGTTAAACAGATATTTTCCAGCTGCAGTATGATAATTGTCATAGGTATCCTGCAATTTATGCAGGATTCCTGCACCTATACTTCTGGAACCAATGACTGTATATATAATATAATTAATGTCATCAGCCCAGAAGGTATTGGGAAGTCTGTGCCTAGTTAATGACACAGAAATCAAGCCACTAGCTCCAAAAAGTCTTGTGATATGCTTGCTTGGGGTTATGCGTTCATACTTGACTGAATTACAGACCAGATTTTCACTTGATAACACTTTCTTTCTTTTCCATCTCTTCACATTAACTGAGCTCACAGGATGGTCACTTTTTTCCCTTGATATTCTTTAGGTGAGAGAGAGGGAGGGTCAAGCTCTAACAAATGTGCTCCAACCATCTATGGTCAGCTATTATTTGGATAGCTACTCTCTTGTTTTATGTAATCTTAAAAAAGGTTGCTTTAAAAACAAACACCAAACCAAACCAAAAACGCACTAGAGGAACTGACCTTCCATTTCTTTTTCAGTTCTTTTGACTTTTTCTTTGTAAACGTTATCCAACCGTTTTTGCCTCTCCTCCTCCCTCCTCCTTTCAGCCACGGTTCTGGCGTGCACATCTTGAAAATCCACCTAAGGGGGAAATGAAGAAAAAAGTGTAACATCCCTCGTAAGAAATATATAGAAAATCCATTTCCTAAGATCCTTATCTGTGGTGAAAAATCCTCTAACATCAGTGATCAGCCAGAAGCTCAGCAGCATTTCCTTTTATCTTTTCTCCTCCTCGAATCAATAACTACAGCAATTCTGAACAGAGCTTTTATTTCTACTAATAAGGGACTGCTGAGAATCAATGGCTTTCAGAAAGGAATCATAAGGTAGAAAAACAAAACAGATTTCACACCTGAAGTGCAGGAATAAACTAGGCTTTGGGAGACTTTTGTCACAGCACTGGAGACAAGGAGTTAGGGAGAGTGGGCGGGAAGAGACTATGCAGGGTAAATATTAAGGTTACATGAACACATCACACTAGATCACTATTAGTAAAAGAAGCCCAGGAAAATTTGTAAGCACCACAAGTATACATCTCACTTACTAAACTTTGTAAGCAAGGAAAGTAAAATACATTCAAATTCATTAAAAAAAAGATCAAATTTGTGATTTTACAATTACGTTTGTTGGATTTTGGGATTGGGGGAAAAGTCAACATTCGGTCTCTTCTGAGTAAAACATAAACATAAATCTGAACAACTCAAAATGGTGTTTCTTAAAATATTTGCAGTGTGGGTTTTTGGTTTTGTTTTGGTTGGTTGGTTGGGTTTTTTTTAAGTTTGGTCTTAGAAGGGCTTGAAAATGTAAATCTTCACTCCTGCTTTAAGGAAGGGAGTCTTGATTGTGTTACCACATAAGGAAACCCCTTTGAAAAAGAAAAATACAGCAATCCTCTGATCACTACCACATAACTTTTATTGACTTCAACACAGGTGACACGGAGGGCTAAGGAAGCCTGTACTTTGCTGATGCTGAAGCCCACAGGCTCTCTGGTGCAATGTTTACAGCACAAGCACTGGCTGAAGGTTTGTCACTATTGCCACTCTTAGATGATCCAGCATGTCCAGTAATGGCTCCCAGATACTGACATCCTACACCAAAGTTTTGGAGCCACATAAGTGACTTTTATGTAACAGCTGTCACAGAAACTGGCATGGAGAGTCCCCATCAGTTTAGGAAGAGAGGCACACTCACCAAGCTCTTTATTTTTAGTGGGAAATGGGTGAGATGAAGGATGGTAGGGAAAAGAACTAGTTTCACAGCCTACAGCAGCACATGGATCACCACTGAGCTTCCTACGGTTTTCAGGATCTGATTCTTCTACCAAGCTTGCATAGCTCTCCACACAGAAGTAGGAGAGCATCTTCTGACTGTTTATAAAATTATTTTGGTGATAATTAAAAAAAAAAAAAAAGCCAGCCAAACCCACAAACCACACACAGAGCTAATACTTCTCCTAAGTTGCCCTATACTACTGTACCAAACCTGTAACACAACAGCAGAGGTACTTCATACTACTAGGAAGTCAAAATGCCTCCTCAAACCTTTGGGTTGCTTTTCACACTTCCAAGTATTACGCTGGCAAAAGGCCAGTTGGCTCACATCAACTCTTCAAGTACAAGAGTTACCGAACTACCTGAGATTGCTTCTATTGATATTAATGTTTCTAGAGGAATTCAAATTCAGCTGCTCTAGAAAACAGCACAGCCAACCTCGCTGGGGAGCTTGTATCACATGGGGAGGGATCCCTCAGTCCTAACTGACCACAGGAGCACAGCCAGACCTGCCAGACTCCACAGAATTGCTGTATGCTTGTACAACAGTTGAGTAAAACTGTGTCATGTATTTAACCTCCCTCGTCTCAGTCTTGCATTTCTCCTTGCCACTGTCATTTAATTTTCTTTCTTTACTAGACAAGACAAAAAAGGAGAATCCCGAGACAATCATCTTTTGTGAGCAGATGCCAAAAACTGTATTACAAAACCAGCACAGTGTAGCAAGTAGGGAATATGATAAATTTAGTGTGGAATGAGAACAACAGAAATACATCATGTATCACAAAGGTTTTTTGATGTACTCTTAGGAACACTAAACATCTGTCTTTCTGAAGAGAAAGAAAATCAGTATGTTTATTGAAAGCCTGTTATTATCATAGATAGTTTGAATGCTAGAATAGCATTCCCAATTTCATTCTTTGTGCAGCAGAAGACATACTAAAGCAGCAGAACGTTCCAAACACTAACTTGAAGACTCGAAGGGAAATCCAAAAGCAAGTGGGTTACATACAAGAAATTTCTCTTTAATAAAACTTCTTGTATGGCACAGTAACACTAAAGCTGAGGGGGGTAAACACCCACACTTGCTGCCTCTGCTGCAGAGCAAAGGGAAGATAGAACTGGACAGCTCAGTAGAGAAATCAGGTTATTTTAAACTGGCATAGAAAGTTTAAGGCATAACCATTATTTCCCTCCCAAAAAAGGGCTAAACCTTGGAGCTCCAGGCAGGATTCAGTGGGTGAAAGCAATACTTCCTACACCCTGAGAAAAGGCTGAGCCCAGCTCTGAGCACAAGCCTGGGGCTTGTAAAGCTTTACAGTCCTGAAGGATGAACTGAAAAGGTTTGTTTTCCAAAGACGACGCTCAACGGGATGTCTCCTACAGGCAATGTCACTTCCAACTGCTTTTTCTTTTAGTATTTATCAGTTTCCTTGCTTTAAACATTTCCTAGCGATCATCACCTAAAAACACAGCAGAGTGACTGCAGAGTACCTTCTTGTTCCGCTTTAAGAAATGGTATCCCAGGGAAAGCTGCTTGTAAGCCTCCCCGTACTTCTCGTGCCAGTCCTGCACCGCCTTGATGGCCGCTTTCCTCAGCTTCTGCGCCACCTCCTTGGGCGGGGGAAGGGGCTGCTCGTGGTCTATGCCCACCGTGAGCTCCAGGAACTCCTGGAAGTTGGCGATGAGCAGCGTCCTGAACTGGTGGGACCTGGCGAAGAGCTCCTGCACCACCTGGAAGGCGGAGAAGCGCATCTCGGCGTGCTCCTCCTGCAGCCGCGTCACCAGCAGGTGGAAGGCGTGGCTGATGTGCTCCGACGACGACCTGGGCAGGGAGACAAGGGAGGAAAAGGAGCAGGAGTTACTTAAGGAGAGGCTCGGCACAGAAAAACAGAAGCTCGCGGGGTTTTTTAATTTATTTTAAATTTTAAACCAGCAGTGTCTGTGCTGGCAGCACCCAGGCCCCCGACAGCACCCAGCCTCCCACAGCAGGGCCCAGGGCGGCTCCCGGGGCTACTCCGCGGCTGCCCGGCCCGGGCACAGACAGCGGGGCCCCGCTCGTTCCCTCCCTGCGGCCGTACTTGCAGATCTTCTTCAGCTCCTTCATCCTGCCCGGCTCCAGCCGCGGCTCTCCGGAGGTGGTGAGCTCCTCCACCAGCTCGGCCAGGCGCTGGTCATGTCGGCCGCAGACGGGGCAGCGGAGCTGCCGGGGCACTCGCCCCGCCGGGTGGTACCTTCCTCACCCCGGGGGAGCCCGGCCGGGCTCCGGCAGCGCCCACGGCGCCGGGCGCGTCTGGGCGGCGCCATCTCGGCTCTCGGGGAGGCCCCGCCCCCATCGGCCCCCGCCCATCAGGGAACGAGCTCCCGCCCCTCAGAGGAGGGCACGCCCCTCAATGAACCGCCCCCTCGGGGCTCCCCCCCCGCCCTGAGGCAGGTGGTACCTTCCTCCATCCCCCCCCTTTCTCCGCCCCCCCTCCCGGCGCATACCACCGCCCCGCCCACGTGACGTGCCGGCACCCGGAAGCGCCCACAGGGGAAGGGCGGAGGGAGCCCTTAAAGGAGCCGCGCCCCGGTTTGGGGGCCGGAGGGAGGTTTAACCCCTTGTTGTCCCCAAACACTCGTTGCCACAGAATCATAAAACCACAGGATCACAGAATATGCTGAGCTGGAAGGGACCCACAAGGGTCATCGAGCACGACTCTTAGCCCTGCACAGGGCCGTCCCCAAGAGTCACATCATGTGCCCGATGGAATGTTAAGGACTTGGAGTGGACATGAAATATAATCTCGTCCCAACTCCCTGCCATAGGCAGCGACACCTCCCCCTAGACCAGGTTGCTCCAAGCCCCATCCAGCCTGTCCTTGGACACTTCCAGGGATGGAGCAGCCACAGATTCTTTGGGCGACCTGTTCCAATGCCTCGCCACCCTCACAGGGAAGAATTTCGTCCTAATATCTAATTTAAATCCCCCCTCTTTCAATTTGTGCCCATTACTACTGTCCTACAGCTACAATTCCTGGTGAACAGTCCCTCTCCAGCTTCCCTGTAGCCCCTTCAGACACAGGAATGTTGCTCTGAGGTCTCCACACAACCTTCTCTTCTCCAGGCTGAACAGCTCCAAATTTCTCAGCCTGTCTCCACAGGGGAGGTGCTCCAGTCCTGTTATTAATCTCCTGTCATCCTCTGGACTTCCTCCAGCAATTCCATGTACTTCTTGTGCTGGGCACATGGCACCCTGTAACTCGCCCCTCCTGCATCCAAAAAGTGAATTTTCTTAGTAGCAGCCGCTATCCGGGGCCTGGAGGGTCCATATGGAGTTTTCACAATGAATGCCATTCTCACACGGGCTCCAAATACCACATAAAATGCAATTTGAGCTCCCTATCGTGGATTCATAGGATGCAGGTGCAAGGATATGGTGGGATGGGCAAATAAACAAGCACAGTCCAAATGTGTAGCCAAAACTACAGTTTTTTTTTTCTCAGTGCTTTGTGACATTTGGCTTCAAGTGGTGTAAGCTATGGATGTTCTCTGTGGGAAGGAAAACTTCAGAGACTGGAGCATTTCTCTTACAAGGAAAGACTGAGGGAGCTGGGCCTGTTTAGCCTTGAGAAGAGATGACTGAGAGGCGACCTCAGCAATATTCTCCATTTTGCAGGACTTGGAAATGGCGATGGCTTTATAAAACTGCAGGAGTGAGAGGAGCCCTAGCAAAATGGTTATTGAAGGACTAAACTGACCTAAACTTTAAAGGTGAGCTGTGCCACTCTGTGTGGCTTTTACATGGAAATCCTTTTAGAAATTCAGGTGTAGAAATATATAAAAAAACCGGGAAGGAAACACAATGGTGAAAAGGGTCTAGTTGTCCAGATTTTCAGGGGGGTGTCAGAGCATAACTTCCACTTGAGAACCTCAGAGCACTTGATGATTGTTGCAGGTGACCCATTGGCCTGTGGAGAGAGAAGCTGATGAAGGATCACAGCAATAAGCCGAGGTACTGAGGGTAGTAAGGGGGTGTTACCTACCTGAGTCACATCCTTAAAGCACAGCACATACTCTGCTGCAGTCAGGTCATGTGGCTGAGCAAAGCACTCCCTTCTCTTCTCCCACATGCAGGAAGGCATCCAGCATTTTGCTCTGCATGTATCTGTGTTCCAAGGGCATGTCCCTGGCATGTGTCCTGCTGCCCAGGGCATCACCTGTGGCGAGAGAGAGCTTAAAAGATTTGTCTGTGTCTCCCTTTGCACTACTTATACAGTGTGGTTCAGTTATTGGACATCATGAGGCTGCCCTGGATTCACTCTTGGCAGAACCTGACCTGTTTTCAGTTTTGGGTGCTCAATTAGAAGTGTTCTGCAGACCTCCATCTCTGAAAGTGCTGCTTAAGCACTGGGAATAATCAAGACCTTGCAGGTGCTTGCTTTGAACATCCTAAAGAAGAGAGGCATCTGAAATATCTGTTCCCATTTGAAAATGGTGTTGGATAATAGAAAAGTATTTCCATGAACCCACAGTTCAGGCATGTGTTGGAAACAACATGTGTGAATTGGTGTTGCAGCTCTGTCTACTGGCTCCTGCGATTGGGAAAGACAGCACTGAGCACTTTTCACAAGAAATGAACTTATCTCTTCAACCAAATTTACTGCAGTAAATGAATTCTTACATTTTGCAGTTGCTCTGTTATTTCTGATTCAATACATCAAACCAATGACAACTTGCTTTTTAACGATGTTTCCCCTTTCCCCACTGCCTTTCATCAAAGAAAATGGATTTCCATGTAAAATTCACACAGAGAATGGCACCGTTCATCTTAAAAGTTTAGATCAGTTTACTCTTTCATTATTCCTTATTTGTTCTATTTCTCTTCTTAATTTGATTGAAAGTGCCTCAACAACTGCTTTTTATTAGGATATTACTAGCAGAAGTAGAATTGCTGTACTATCTGGAAACAGAATGTCAAAATGAGCCTCAAGCAACAGACTTACCATCTACAAAGGCACCAATTTCATCCCCTTGCATAATGTTTAAAGAAATCCCTGCAAGGAGCCATATGGTTTTGCAAAGAACCAGCTGATGAATGAATGCTGAGTTATGTAACTCATTCATGGTAGTCCCTTAGGCAAATCCCAGCCAGAGCTAGGCTATTTATTTATTTATTTTAAAAAATCAAAGACGACTACATAAAACTGTGTTTGCTCAAGTTGCTGAGTCCCTTTCCCCTTCTATTTTTTAATGAACATGGTAAATGTCCACCATTCAAGTATTTCTGAACATTCTTCCTCTGAAGCAACGTGGTAAAAGGCTGAAGAACACTGGAACACTGAAGAATTCATCCAGGTGTAAAAGTCACAACCCTCTGCACCTGCATGGATTTTCCCTGGCCTGACTCTTCTGGGCTGTTCCATGGAGGGGAATGCAGGACACTGTGGAGTGCAGAGGCAGAACTGAACACCACCTCCTACCCCCTCAGAGCCTCAGAGTTCAGGGTCAGTTCACACCTGGTCTCAGCAAAGCCTGAGCCTGCAGCTTCATGGGGCATGGATTGGGTCAGGCTGCTGAATCAAGGAGTTGCATTTCTTACTTCTGAGCTGAGAGATCAGCTAGAGCAACGCAGTTACACTTCATGGGTTCTCCAAAGTGAGTGATACCTTGCAGGAACAGAGATTCTTCTAGAAACACTGTCCTGTCCACCACCTCTCCAGGATACCCAGTGCTATCATGACTGGCAGGAAGCATTTGCAGTGGGAATGTCCTCCTACAAGATATTTCCAGATATGACCACTTGGTCCTTCCAGAGGTCATCTCAAGTTTGTCCAGTATCTTTGGCCAAATACACAGGCAGAAAAAGCTCCAGAATTTTGTCCATTGACACCAATGACTTGGGTCTGGCTGTTCTTACATTAAAAAAGGACCATTTGTTCCACCACAAATTTAAAAGGTCAAACTGATGGCTCTAGGAAGGATTGTTTCAGACTTTGAGCAATACTAAATTATCTGTTGTAGTCTTTTATAAAAGAAACATCTCAGTAGGACACAGCTCCACCATTTCACTGTATGATTCTTTGCCAGGGCTTGTTTTCCAGCTTTGCAATAAAGGAGAATGTCAGTCAGAAAGAAACCCCCCTGAACTTTTAAGATAGCTGTATTCAGCTTAATGATATGAAATTAAAAAGGAGGATTTCTTTTCCTGCCAAAATGGAACTTGGGCAAAAAAATAAAGCTTCCCTACAAATAATTTAGAGTTAAAATAACTTTGGTTTCAGGTCTGAAGATACAGAAGCACGATAAACACTGACATTAAGTTGTCACCAAGTTTGTGCCAATTGGGCTGCAAAGAAAATGACCTCCTATGTGAGCTGAATAGATGCTGAACCATCGCTTTGAGCTGAGCAAAAGGGTGACAGATACTTGAAAGCTCTGAACTTCCCCATAAGGGGTAAAGACTATGTTTAAACAGATGTTCCCAAAGGAGAGATAGCCTATTCATTAAACTATCAATAATGCAAGGCCAAAGGTATTTGGTGACCTCCTCTAATTATGTGAAATAGTGACTGTGACAACACTTCAGCTACTGCAAGGTTTTGTAACTCTGCCATAGGAGAAGATGAATGAATGTGCTCTGTATGGTCTAGATCACTAATTAAATAATCACTTGTGAGTTGGATGGACCAGCAGTAGCTGTGGGAAAACCATCACAAATCAAGGAGAACCTTCCTACATGTGGCTTATATTCATGTCTAGAATAAGCTTTAAAAACGATCCTGCAGCAATTCCTGAAACTGCACATCAATATGAACACACCTACTACTATCAATGAGGGTAAATTTCTTTTTCCTCCTTGGAAAGATCTGTGCAGACTTGAACTGGAATTTAATGAGCATTTTTCTGTGTTAGGCAATACATGTCCACATCACAAGTTAAGACTATGACATGAATGCACCCAGAGAAGACCAGAGCACACCCCACTGCACTGCAAGTGAGTGTCTTTGGGGGTCTGGGGGATGCCAGCCTGTAAGGCAGGACTCAGATCAGGTGGCTCAGAAAAGGAGGAGCTTGAAGCTTGTTATCATGTAGAAAAGAAGAGTGCAGAGGAAAAGGAGACCCCCAAGCTTCCAAAAGAGGAGTTTCAGCCTCTGAGGCCGAATCATACAGTGACAGGAATGGCACTTTCACACTTATGCAAATATTGATTTCTGATATAAAATGTTAGCAGAGGTTTCTTAAACAACTTAAAGAGACTGTTTTGGGTGTCCCACTGACTCACTGATGGCACTGTTTTGGAGCTCTTTCTGCCTGTTGGATGCCTGAGCTGTCCCATCCTCGGAAAGCCACAGCCTGTAATAGAACTGCGGTCACTCAGGCTGGATTCTCCAAATGAGAGACTGCACAGAACTGTGGCTTCAGATACCCAAAGGAATTGCTTTTTAATTCTTTTCCCAAGGATGTGAAGA